TTGCTACCTCAAATACTTCCTTATACCACTCTTATCAATTTGATTTATGTCACCTAACCCATCTCAACTTACTCCATTTGCTGACTCTTCTTATAGCCCTTTTTCTCACCACCACTTAAGTTAAGTTTAGTTGAGTTGCCAGAACAGGAATATACCACTCTATCTCCGCACCTGAAACCCACTAATGCCTCCCCACCACATAACTCATCACCTAACACTATATTGTTAATCTCGTAATTTTATTTTAACAACTTTGATCTGTTCAATTTGGCCCTTGCAATCTTTATCTGCAAGATTTCATCCTCACTCCATTTGTGCCAATTTACTCAAGTCAATCACCCATCCCAATACTAACCCAATCCAATACTAACTGTCGTGCCCCGGGGAAGGGATAGTACCTTTCAACCATACATATTCGACTAAAGACCGATTTTGAAGTGGTTAGTATTGAGTTGGTATAGCTTAGGTTCTCGTTATCGTACGTCATCTTGAGATAGTCTGCAAACTCATAATATAAATACTAATCTGAGATTGTGATTTCTAATTCAAGATTTAATCGCGTTCGCTGCGATCAGTGTCAAGCCGATAAGTATTCCAGAACTTTGCCCCTGTAGATAACTCACTTTGAGGTGGAGGCCGGAGAGGACACCACACTAACTCAATCCAATACTAACTCAATCCATTTCACTACATATCAACCTACTTAAACCTATTTAAACTTAACAGGATACTTTCTTAATTCTAAATCTTTGTACGTCTGGATGACTAATTTGAGAATCTCTCTCCAGTACTCGATGGTATTTGTCGTATGCATTTGCAAAAGAGTCTTTCGGGCGCTTATGTTTTCTGGGAGGCCGTTGAGTAAGTACGCCAGGCTGACCAGTATCTGCTCGGTCTGAAGGCTTTCGTCTAGCTGGAGGTGGCCGTACAGATGTATTTCTACTCGAAACATGCTTAGAATGCGCAGCAACAGAAGAAGCAACTTAAAAGATGCCTGGCCATACTCTAACCGTAGGCCTCGAACAACTACGGGCGCCTGGCTTGTGATCTTCCGCAGGGGAGCCAAGTCCTCGAAGCAGTTGTTGTACTCGTTTTCTTTCCACGACTCAGGAATAGTAATGTTTTGGGGTGGTAGATGGGCCGGTTCATTATTTAGAGCCATTTGCTCCGGACTAAGTACAAGAATCCAGCCGGTTGTATTGCGGGTTTGGAGGGATATCCAGGTGTGGTCGAGCGGGTCTTTAATCAGCTGTAGATGCTGTAGTTGCGTGATTATTGGTTTGGCTTCCGATGGTAATGTTCTGAATACAGGCAGTGCTTGTACGGGCGTTTTTGGATTAGGTGGTGTTTGGGTTGGTGTGGTGGGCTCAGGCGGTAGTATGATGAATGAAGTGGGCGGGGTGGGCGCCTTTTTCTCTTCTACTTGCATTGCGGAATCTACTGGGTCTACTTTCATGATTCTTCTCGTCTGGGCTGGTATTGGGTTAGCGAGAGAAGAGCTCGGCTGCTTTATATGCTCTGGATGCTCTGCATCACTACAGGCCACCTTCATGTCCTGCCACTCCAACCAATACATTCCAAATAACGAAACACTAACCAATACTAACCCAAGATAAGATCTCCTAACACGTATTGCTTTTAAGAACTTGAACATGCGAATTTTCTATCTCTTCTAGCTTTTTAATTTGCTATCTCAGCATCCCTAGACCTTTTTGATCTTTTCAATCTCAATACTAACCCAATCTGACTATCTCACTCTTCTCTTCCACAAACCATCCTAACCCAACTTAACTCAATCCAACTACTAACCCAATTCAAATTAATACGATAACCTTGCTTTACTTAATGTCAAAATCAAAAGATAAGCCTTTATTGGGTTAAGTTGTGTTTGTGTTTGGTTTGATTTGACTTGATTTGTGTTTTACTTTTTGACCTGTATTGCCAGTTTGTGCTCTTGTTTGGCCTTTTTAATTATTGATCCCCACTCTTTGAGGTTGTATGTTATGGTAAAAGCCCAGCTAAGCTCATAAACCATCGGCTTATCTGGCATATTCTTGGCCGCGGACAAAGTACTGGGATTTGAAGCTGTGGTGGTTTTCAGGAGGTCCATGCTGGTTTGGATTACAACCCCATGAAGGAGCTTAGCTTGTAACAGAGAAGCCAATAAGCGTATTTGGCTGGAATTCTTGTCAGTTGTTGTTAGTCCTCTAATTGTCCAACTTGTCGTCGGTTGTAGAACTGTCGATAACTCTATAGAGTGTTTCTCTGGATAGATGAGCTCACGAACAGCACAATAAGAAGATAGGTGGATATAAAAACTGTCTACAAGTTGATCAGAGTTCTTTGTGTCGAAGCTAAGTTTCCAAATAACATCGTTGTGTATCTCACTTGGACTAGGCAATTGAATCAAATTATATGGTACTGACTCGCTAATTAACCCGAAGTCTTTTAAAATAGCGATTGTTCTGTTCTTGAGTGCTATTATATCTGCTCTTTGCTTGGTCTGCATTTGTTTTACTTCTGGTATGGATTTGGTTATGCTATTCTGTTTGTCAATAAAGATCGTCTCAATCTTTCTAAGTACTTTCCTCCAATACTTGGCATCGTCTAGTATGTTAATTGACCAAGAAAGCGATATTATGGTATTGGAAATATCGGCAGACACGAAGTGAGTATTGTGCTGTAAAACTGGGCAGGTCTTTGGGAGTGTAAGGTCCCTAAACATTATTTTGATGGCAAAGGAACGCTTGGCGTTGAGTAAGTATACGAATGCTTTTATCGGCTTGGATGTTTTGGACATTGCCTTCCCAGTCGCAAATAGATCCTTTGTTCTACTGTCTACGACCAGCTTTTCCGAATTCGAATCTGCTATGAAACTTTGCAATGCATCGGATGGAGTGCCTAGTATTGGGCATATACCCAAGCCAATAAGACAAACATTATTTGTTGGTGCTTTCTTTGAGTTGAGCTTAAGGTCCCATCGGGTGGCTTCCGCATCAAGACTTGGCTCGTCAGATTCTGCCAAAGTGTAATCCGTTGTTTCATTAATTACCCCAAGTTCTGTTAAGGCGGCTATTATTTTGAGCTTCTGTTGGTCACTATCGGGTTGGTTTGGTTTGCTATCTGCACCACCCAACAACACACTCAGTACGGCCAGAATACAACAGGTTCTCATTAATAATACACACTTCAAACTCATTCCAATTATCTATTTATTTCTTATCTCCTATATTTTATTAAATTTCAAAATCAACCATCACTATCCAACCCAAACTAAGATTATCCCAGCTATTGTATGCCATAATTGTCACAAAATGGTTCGTACAAGATTTGGCCTTAGTTGGCCATATCTATTTGGGCAGCTTATTTTACATTATAGTCTAGATTAGATTATAAGGCATAAATAAGAATGGATTTAATAAATACGTTGTAGTTTCATGGCCTGTCCAAAACAAGCACAATCATCAGATACTAACCCAATACTAACTCAATAGGAGTTACTTGATACCAACACAACAAAGAGATCTCTTCATTTTACCCACCCCATCATTCCTTTGTCTTTCCATCTTCATTTAACTCACCCAATACCACACTACACTACACTACACTACACCACACCACACCATATCTTAACTTAACTTAACCTAACTCAATCTAATATTAACATAATACCAAACCAACATAATACCAACTCAATATCATATTCTAAAACTAAAACATAACCCTTCTCTTTTCAAAACTACTCACTTTGAATTGGGTTAGAATTGAGTTTAGTTTTTAATTCAAATCTAACTGAATACTAACTCAACTCAACTCAATACCAACACAATATGTCTATTGGGTTAGTAGAATGTCGCTGTTCGGAAGGCGTAATACCTCTACAACCCATTAACAGCCGGATACCCAGTGTAATGCCGGAATACGACCACTACCCAAGATCAACACAATACTAACCCAATATCTACACAATATCAACCCAATATCAACACAATACCAACACAATACCAATTCAATAGCAAATAAGCTCACCTGATCAAACACATATTCATTTTTTGTGTAAACATCACAAATCCGCGCAATGAATGTACTTCTCTTGGCTTTGTTATGTTTGAGTATGATCTTAAGCAAGGAAACACCGGCCAACAAAAGCTTCGACATTGTCTATATCAATTTGGCGAAGCATACATCTAAAAAGCAGTATATTGAGCGCATGCTCAACTACGCAAACTGTTCGTTTATTCGGTTCAACGCGGTTGATGGCCAGGAGATTTATGCGCGCACTAAAACTCTTCAGGAGTACTCTAATGGCATGCCAATCCGACCAACCAACCGTTCTATTCGTTCTCGAATCAATGCTGCAAACGCAGGCCGGGCCGGCTGCCACCTTAGCCACTTGCTCGTCTTGAAGACAGTAGCCATGTCCGACAGCACTAAACCCGTTCTAATTCTTGAGGACGACATTGATCTTGATACTCTTTTCGTGGCTAAGATTGAAGAGGCTCTGGCTAATCCGCCTGACCACTGGGATATTATTCTTCTTGGCGGCATGTTTCATACGGCTTGGTGGGGTCATCCGGCCAATAAGCATCTACGGGCTGGGAAATACCAAGCCTGTCTGCACGCATATTTAGTAAATGGATCCAAAAGTGCGCACAAGATCGCTGAGGCAATAGATAAAAAAGATTGCCCTGGTCGTCCTGTAGATCTGATCATTGAAACAGCATTTCGAGATGACCCAGATTTCAAAGCCTACTGCTTTGACCCCATGATTGCCGTACAAAGAAGAGACTTATTCGAATCATCTATTACTTTGCCATCGACCACGCCTTGGTATGATAAAGTTGCCGCCAAGCTCTTCCCTAGTGCCTTTCTCCGCCCTCTCTCCCGCTCACTCGCTGACGCCTCTTCAGGTGCCACAAGTAGCTCTCAAGCCCCGAATTTAACAAGCATTTGGCTAGGGTTGTTTCTCATTGGACTGCTATAAAATAGCCGGCCCAAACCCGCTCAATCACTAGTTCGCCGTTCTCTTTCCTATCAAGGGCAATGTAACCTTTGATGTCTTTAGTGTCATAGAATCATAGATCAAGACTTGGTTGTTGACCTGCGTCATACTAAGGTTCTGGTTGACCGATCGAGGCAGACGGCTTGCTATCCCATCAAGGGGCTGATTGCTTGACTGGATAGTGCTGCCCTTGAACTTAGTTATAGCTTCATCAAAGTGTTGTTGGGTTGGCCATAAGACAGCCCGCCACATTTCCCAGCTCATTCCAATATGGTTGGACAGCACGACTCCCCAGGTGATAAGTGCTATGGTTGCAAGGGCAATTAGGGCTATAACAATCCAGTGCATCTTCCTGCGACGTGCCTGACTGATATCTTGTTCAGCTCCTTGTAACTTAGCATCTCGTTTGGCCCTCAAAAACTGGAAGACCACATAGCTCACTCCAACTACCCAAACAATGCACAGGGCAACACCAATTATAGTAAACTGGAGACTAGCAGATTTAAGATTAGCCAGGTCATGTGTCTGGATTGCTCGGTCAATAAGTTTCGCTGCAGACAAAGTTATTAACACTAATCCCATCATTACAACAGACCAAATACCCAGCATCACTCCAATAACCCAACGGTTTATTGATTTAGTGGCCGGCTGTTTTACCTCAACATTAGAAGGTTCAGTTGATTTGTGTTTAACGAATATATTCGTACATCTCGTAACAAAAGTATCCATGCTCATTATTAAATGGTTATAATAAAACCTATAAATACATAAAACATTTCCTATTGGGTAAACTCTATCAACAGATAGCACAATCTATTGTGATAGTGCACAAAATAGTAAAATATATCTTCATGTTAACAATCAAATTCATTTATTCTGGAAACACTGCAGATGCAGTTGAGCCCAACGGCCACCTAACCTAATATTGATATGATAGGGGGTAAAAAATAAAGTACCGTTTTTACAACAAATTACTATAAAAGGAAATTCTTACCTAAATCATCTTGGTTGATTGGGTTGGCGTTTGGTTGATGCTGGGTTACCTGGGGTTGAGCTGGAAGACATACGAGCATGTACCAGCTTTTTAATAGCCTCTGCAATCGGAGAAGAGAAGATTGAGTTACGTTCGTAAATCATGTGGGCTAGAGGCGGATAAAAGTCAACGATGTCTTCGGGGTCGCTTGGGTAAGCTGGATTGAACCGGCCGTCGTGTTTAGTCAAAAACTCTAAAATACGAGTGTTGCGCATGCGACTCTCTAGTGCGGGCGCCTCACCTTCTCGCTGCTCCCAGCAGATCTCTAAGGCATACATATCGGCGTTGGCATATGGGCAGTAGGAGTTTGTATCAGCCTTCACAAATCGGATAGTTGCACTGAGCAGAAAAAGCCTCTCATACTCCTTCTTGATTAATGTGACTAGCGCGTCCAAATTCTCTTGTTTGACAAGATACTCAGCACGCCCAAACGCGTGCCGATGTAGCATGCCTTTGAACGGCTTCTTGGTCGCGTTAAGATTCACATTCATAAACTCATTGCGCAAGTGCTGACGGCTTTTTATCCAATTGAAAGTCACAGCCTTTTCATAAAGACGCTCAACATACGACCGAAGTCCTGTCCACTCGATCAGCCGGGCCAAATCAATAAGCACCTTTTCAATGAAGGGCAGAATCTGAACTATCTTTTTCGAGCGATTGGAAACCTTGGCCCCCTTTGAAGCCGGCATAAACCGCACCAAGTAGTACTTGTGGCGGCATACATTTATTAGAGCCATTTCCACGTTGTCCGTTTGTTTAGGAAACTCATCTAAAGCCTCTTCCAATCGCGGGTAAGTCGTGGCCACTTTAGCCAACAGCAAGTTGTCCGTTAGTTCAATCACGGCTCCATAGAGCATATAAATGCTTCCAAAAGACCCCACACACTCTTTAAACTGAGCTGACCCTTTGGGCAGTACTAACTCTTGACCTGTCGAGTCCAGCGCATGGATGGTTTGAATTGTGCTGCCAATACAGCCGTTTTTATGGTCCCAGCCGTGCACATTCGTGCTAATAGAGGCCAGCACGACGAATATGTTAGCTGTTGGTCTGACCTTAGTCGCTAATGCATACGCATTGGCTTGTTGCTCGACTTCCTGAAAAGTAACATTCCCAAAGACTTGGGCCGTCTTTGCTTTTGCATCGATCACGATCTTGTTCAGTCCTTTGAGATTAATTAGCATAAAGCCCAGTTCTTTGGCCCGGGTAAAACTCTGTGTAAGACCGCTCCCAACTAGATAGATCTTCTTTTTCTCTTGCTGGGCTAGACTTACTATTTTCTTGATCTCAGCTATGTTTTTGGGATAAAAGATACCAGCCTCATCCTGCGCTACACCAACACTAGGTGTTCCGACAGAAGCGGTGTTATAATCATGGCCGGTGTTATCTACTGAAGCCAGGGTCGCGATCACATAAGAAATAAACAGCAGCAGCACAGCCAGTCTTTTAATGGTCGTGCTATTCAACAGCTCTAGCCAAAGCTCAATTCTGCAGAGCATTCCTGTTGTGGATTGTACTCGGCTTAACTTCACGTAACAAGACTGAGACTTATTGCCTGTTTGGGTTAGCAGATGTTCATACATTATAATCCCCATCACATTGTTTGGTGGCTTATATGGCCATGACCAAATAAGGAAAGACTTCTACCAATTATTCAGTATCATATAAAAGAATCAATTGGGTTAGTATGGCTTCACTTTGGTGATCAAGGATTGGGTTCGTATTCTAATCGAACCCAACTCAACTCAACCCTAACCCAATACGAAGACCATCTTAGCCGATACATCCTCTATTAAAGATATTCCTTGAGATAAGTGTGGGCACCATTTATTAAGTCAATAAGAGTGTGGTGGAGTAAGATGACGTCATATTAAGTTGGCATTAGTTTAGTACTAAGTTAGTATTAGTTTAGTACCAAGTGGTGAGTAGCTTGCCAGTAATTAAGTTGATCGTATTGGTATTGTATTGGCATTGTATTAGTATTGTATTAGTATTGTATTAGTATTGGGTTAGTATTGGGTGGTGGCCGTATGATAGCATTACACTAACACAATACCAACACAACCCAAACCAACCCAATACTAAGCTGCCCTCATCGCGGGACCAATTGATTTTCAAAAACATTCATTTGCTGCTTCAACTATATCAAATACTAACCCAATTCAGCACTAAAAGTCCGCGGCCAATGACCAAACAAAGACAAAAAGACCAGATGAGGTGTCTGGATAAGCCTCAACAGATTTAACACTAGTACCAAATACTAACCTCGCCAACTCCCAAATTTATTTCAATAATACGGGGTATGTTCGGTATTTGTATGCACCCAACCATGGACAGTTGTGATAAACATGCTGCATAGTGTTTGCCTGCCATCCCGACGGTATAATAATGACTTCCTTTTCGTCCAGCTGAATACGGCACTTCTGTTTCTTATCTACTGTAATCGTATGGCAGAGACATTTGCCAAGCCGGCATCTTGGCCTTGGGCAACTACGCTCTAAATGCTTGAATAGATCGATAAATGTCGAGGAAGTATTGGCACACAGTCCTTGCCTCTTGGCGTCCCTTGGTATAGCCAGGCTAGAATGCCTCTTAGACAACAACCAAATACTAACCCAATACAAACCAACACCAAATACTAGCTAAGCCACATCTTCTTTTCTATGTAAACAGTTCTGAAGCACCCAATCGAATGAATAATTGTGAAAACTCGCCCTTGATATATTTTGCAAAGAAACTATTGTGATCTTAGTTGGTATTTTCAAAACAATGATACTTTTTCAGATATCTAATTATCCAGCCACTTAAATAGTAGATGCATGTGCTATTCCAATGGCAAATATATCATTTGATTACTAGGAGAACAAACTAGAAAACCAACTGGGCGGAGTTGGCAGCCGGACCCAGGGGAAGTGCTCTTTAGCCATGGTGGTGGGTATACCGTTTTTGAGCTCGCGGCCAATAGAGTCATCGCTTGATATGCGGGGGCCGTGCATTCGGAACTTCTTCATTACCCAAAAAGAAAACTTACCCTGAGATAGCGGCTGGAAGTTCGGGCTAGTGTGGATATCCACAGTATTGGTGGGAACTTCCAACAAGTCCAGCTCATCAACCGCACCACAGGCCCAAGCTGGCATATGCGTATCATGCGCGTATAAGAACAGTCTATAATCAATTGCTAAAGTGGTGCAGAGAGACCGAGGGGTGAGTTCTTTAGTCGGAATTGGTCTCAAGAACTCCTTCAGGAATCGCACTTTCCTTTCCCATTTCACGGAGTCATCAGTCACATCCTCCCCAACCATTCGGATAGTGAGATTGCTACAAACCAGGTCTTCATCGATACACTTCATTCGCAATGGCTCCATTGTCACCTGGGCATCTTTAGTTAGCTTAAGCTCCAGATTAAAGTTGTTGCTCCAGTTGACATCGCTGAGATATTCCACTAGCTCGGGTGTTTGGCATAGCAGAGAAAGACTACACACAGGCAGTTGTGACCAAAAAAGCCGGGCAAAATGCACTTGATACGGATTGCCAGTAGCAAAGGTCAGCCCGACGCTTCGATTTTCGTTACGCGGAGCTTCCAAAGAAGATATCACACTTGCTTCCATATCAGCATCTAGATACTCTGACGGTTCGCCAGCAATCGAGATATATGTTTCCTTGGCTTGAATGACTCTAAGCAAAGTCAAGACTGATAGAATAGCGTTCAACCCATGCTCGAGCTGGAGATCTTTCAAATACACCTTTTCAAAAAGGACAATGTCTTCTGAGACGGACATAGCGATAGTATCAATGAGCTGAAGAGTTGCATAGAGCTCCTCGTACTTATTCACATCCCACTCCTCTGAAAAGTTGACATAAAGCTCGCGTTGAGCGCGGGCCACTACTGATTCAGAGATCAGAACGCAGTACTTCCCTACTGAGCACAACGCAAACTTGACTGTCACACACCCACACGTTGTTTTGCGACGGTCAGGCAGACAAATACACATATTTAGTTCTCTCAACGCTTTTGTGATCTTGATAGAGTCACTTTTCAAATCAGCAGAAACATACGAGTCAACTAACCTTCTAGCTTGTTGCTTGATAGCTAGATCTTCAGGGGGGAAGACGTATTCAGCATTTTCGTCAGCTCCGAAGCTCCAATACAACAAACAACAAACAACAGCCATGGCCACAACCGCCAAAATGCCAATACAAACCCAAAGCAGCCTAGTTTTAGATATAATTCCTTTACGCATGCTATCTAAAGATAAAATATTTTAAGTTGGTTATCTCATTTTAACAATTATTGTGTTAATTGAGTTAGTATTTCGAAAAGTTTCAGCGCAGTATTAGGTTGGCAGTAGTGTGGTGTTATTTAATAATCGTATGACAGCATTACAGTTGTTATCTACTAACAGCACAATAACATAATACAATAAATACCCACTCAACATAACTCAATACTCACTCAACCCAAACCATATACCCACTCAACCCAACCCAACTTAATACTAACTCAACCCAACTTAATTAGCAATTTGAAGATGTTTTATTTGTTTGAGTGCAACTGTAGGTAGATATAATAATAGTTGCGATCAGGTGGCCCAAAAACAGACAAGCAAGTGGTCTTATGTGCCCGGCCGCAGTTAGCTGGTACTAGACGTTGAGTCAGCTTTCTTGCTTTCATTACTCGCCCAGTAACCGGCCAATACTTCAACCAGAAGGCTTTCCTGAGTTGCCTTCCAGATAGAGCTGCCGGCCGAGACAACGCCATTGGCAACAGACTTAGCAGTAGCCCAAACAGTGTCCATGGACATCTTGTGGTGGTGGGCACACCAGACCACATTCGTTGTCCTTCCCCCTTGTATCATTTGATTCTTACTCATCGTATCGCAAATGACCCGCCGGGTGTATATCATGGTATCTGGGTCGGCAATGGGCCATTTAAGAACTAAGAAGGCCGGCGGCGAGTAGAAAAGCTCGAGATAAGTATGGCCCGCCACCCAACGGTCGGACCACGAAACACTCCAGATCGCCCCAGGCGGCGAGGCAGTATAAGCCCTAATACTGGGCTTGAAGATCAAAATAACCTTCCCACCTGCCATATAAAAGCCAAATTTGCATTCAAACTCATGGATTTGTACCAAAACACCGTTGTGCGTATATCCGTCCGTTCCTAGATCAAGATTCGTTATAATCAAGTGCTGGTGGACGGTTATTCTGCAGTCAGACAGCCATGATTGCAGGCTTGACTGAAAAATAATCGGCCAATCTAAAGCCAGATTGTTGACCGATGTTTGCTGAGCTAGGTTGGTAATAGCTTCAGTCAAGTCATCTATTTGTAAGGACTGGGTAATGTTAGTGAGTTGGATGATGTGCATTTTCGGCTTCAGATTCTTGATTTGATCGGTCAAAAAAGTAACGGCATTCTTTACTTTCTTCTTTTGGTCTAACTTCGGGTCATTTATCTTCAACCCATCAACAATAAAAGTGGTCATCTCTGGGAAAGATTGGTGTATAGATTGGCAGGTGTCGTCATGCATGACCTGTACATTTCGATAGGACAGTGTCTGGGCCCGATTGGTTATATCAAATATGTCTTCTTTACAACAGGTTATACATATAAAACACAAACAGACATTATCAAAGCAGAGCTTATTGCAAGTACGCTCCTGAATTATTGCGGACTCGATAGTTTCCCTGGCCACAATGCTAATCTGATACTGCCCATTCAACCCAAACTTACTTGCCAAGTCAGACAGCCGGACAGGTTGTGGAGTGGAAGCTGACGTTGGGTCGGATGTAGTTGCAGGAAGTAAGCTAGACGCAACCGGAGCGGAGTCGACATCAACCGGCTCCGCAATAACATCGCGGCTATAGGCCACCGAATTAGATTCATAAAGCACCCTTTTGAAAATCATATGGTCTAAATAGCCCGGCATCGTGGACGTATACGGTGCGCCCAGGAAACATAGATTCGTAAATACAAAAAGATCAAGCACCTTCTCCAGCAGAGATTGGGTGTTCTCCTTATTTGGACCTTCACAAAGACACTTCTGCCCCCACGTAAAGACCACTATAAGGGTTTGACATTGGATTGTGCTGATTTGACCCCGATGTTGTAGCAGTGTTTTCAGATTCGAGTTATTCGCATCAATGCAGATATCATAACTTTCCTTAAAGATCACCACAGCTTGCGGACTGGATGAATTCGACGACACAGCGAAAGTGGTGCCAATTTTCGAAAGTGGCACGGCCTTGTTCACATAGTCTCCCAAGTCAAACGTGTTGGCGCGGTAGATATAGCTTTCCTCGGCGTCGACCGGCAGAAACAAAGCCGTGCGCTCAAGAGAAAACATAAAGTAGTTAAACACTGTAATGAGTTGTGCGGCATCAATTTGCAAGTTGTTGTTTTGATTCAAATCTACCCCACTTTCATAATCAAACCCCTGATTAATTATTCCGCCTCTTCTCATGATTGCTTGATTGGCCGACGGATTACTTGCACTTATCAAACCAGTAGCTAGGCCAGCATCTGTTTTGCTTTTGCTGTCTATCGCGACTAGAGGATTACTTTTTGTCTCAGCATTATTCCTGGTTTTCTGCCAAACACTATCGTCATTCTTAACGTACTCGCTAGCTGAAGTTATTGGCGCCGCCGAAATGTTAGATGGCGAACTGTTTCTGGCGTTTTTAACCATACTAGGGTGGAGATCCACTAGCTCTAGCACCACAAAAGCACAAAGCACTACCAGAGCGCTGCCAATACAAATCACCAGACAAATAGCTTTTGTCTTATCTATGCGTTCCATGTTTTGAATCTAAAATTTCAAAAAACCCATATATAATCATCTTGTTAAGTTGTTATTGAGTTGAGTTGGATTGAGTTAGTAGTGTGTTAAGTTGAGTTAGGATTGAGTTAGTAGTGTGTTAAGTTGGTAGTAAGTTAGTAATATGTTGAATTGGTAGTAAGTTAGTAGTAAGTTAAGTTGATAGTAAGTTAGTAGTAAGTTAAGTTGATAGTATGTTAGTAGTGTGGTGAGTTATTGCTGTAATATTAGATGAGCTGCTTGGCATTATGTTTAGTTTATTGGATGGGTTATTGGGTTAGCTTAGCTGCTCTGATTGCAGAGACGGGCTGGGAATTGCCCGAACAAGATAAATAACCCCTGCACTAGCCAGTGCTACCAACAGAAGTACGGCCACTGCCAAGCCAAGCTTGTTTATAGCGCGTATTTTCTGCCGGTGCTTCTTCTTGAGGATAAATCCAATGATTTGAGAGCCGGCAAACGCAAGCATAGATATGACTCCAAGAACTGCATGAATAATGTTTTGTACATCATTGGTAAACTTAATGCTTAGCAGGAAGCCAATGCACATCCCACCCAAAAAGATCAGACCAATTCGCAGCCAGTGCTCTTTGATAGCTTTGATAACCCCACGACGCTGATCAATAGGCTGCACAAGCTGCAAAAGAACACTAATCAAAACAGCTACCAAAATAGCCAGAATTGCCTTAAATGCACAGTCTGCAATGTACCATGCGCCGTATGGATGGAATAACGAGAAAATACTTTCCATTGCCACTAACGACGCCATGATCAAAGTCAGAGCAAAACGAGTTATCAGCAAAGCCACCAGACTTTGATCGAGAGTAGTTGTATCAGGCTGCACTCCCAAGCCAATTAGCATCATTTGCGCTGTTGTTTGCTCTCGATGCAGATGCTGTCGGCCTTTACCACTCTTGGCAGCAAACGCGCCGGTATCAGCATCCTCCAGGGCTTTCTGATACATGACCAAAAACTGCTGTATTATCGCTTCATTCTCAAGCTGGGCCTCAGTGGGCCCCTCAACCGCTTCTGTAGCTTCGATGGATTTGGCTAGCGTGGGGTTAGTATTGGTGTTATGCGCGAGATTGGCTAGCTCACGGAAAGCCTTCTCGGCCCGAATATATTCTTCTTGCTCGATGCCAAAGAGCTCAGAGGCGACTATTTCGGCCGCATGCTCGTGCATACCCTTGAGCAAAGCCAAGCTGCTTTTGGAGGGCAGAATGTCCTTGGACAGAGCAAGGCTTATTTTTGAGCCCAACTCGTCCACTAGCTCTGGAATGTTTCGCTTCCCTATTTTCGCGTAAACCTCTTCTAAAGTGAGTGGAGTGACATCGTGGTAAGCGCTGGAAGTAAGCATTCCTAAACTTACCCATTTATGAAGGACACTGAGTTGGGTGGGAACATGCACCGAAATCTTTAGGGCTCGCCAAATCTGCTCCAGCGTCTTCGCAGGGTTTATAGGGAAGTTCTTCTTTTGGTTGTAGGCGTAAATGTACATTCCGGCTCTGCAGGTCAGCTCAGACCAGAGGTATGCCGATAGTTTGACATAAATGTGCTGTCGAGCAACATTGGTGGGTATGGGGTTATCATTATCTTGACTGGAGTGAGTACTGGGCGAGATGTTGGCTAGGTTGATTATCTCAGCATGCTGGTCAGTAGGTGGCGTGGTTGGTGAGATGTTGGTGAGAGACAGATTGGATGGGGATCGGTTGGATAGAGCTTGGTCAGCACAGGATTGAACTAAAGCAGGGTCGGCCGGTGATGAGGTCCTATCTGCTGTGAGCAACTCATGATTAGAAGGGGCTCGGGCTGGACCAGGATTAAGAAGAGGATCGGTTTCTACATCAGATAACCCCGGGCGTGATGAAACCGAATCACGACGAGTCAAACTGTCATCAGCTAGACTTGAATTCGAGTCTACTACTGATGAAACTGGCACCAAACGGCCATCATGCACCACCAACCCATCAAGAATCTCTATGACAGCACTCTCTGTAATACACATCGAGTTTAAAAGAATAGGCTGGAGAATACTGGCATTAGCTGGAGTTATGTTTTTGATAGTTTCAAAAAGGCTGTAGTTTTTGGCCTCTTTCACCCAGTAGTCGAACACAGTAGGTATTTTCTCGTCAATAAGAAGATACCTAGCTGATAAGATATGGTTAGAGGATTCTCTGGTTTTTTCGTCGATATCCGCTAGTTTATCGGCAAGACTATACAAAGTTTCATTAGGACGGACTACCATTTATCTTAAGTATCTAACCATTTATTTGAACTAAATACTTTTGTTTTTTCCATATAAGGCAAATTAGGTCGAGTTGTTTTTGGGGTTTGGATTGGGATTTTCATTAGTCCGTTTTAGGAAATGTTAGTATTGGGAGGGGTTATATCGAAGGTTAGTCGCATGGGAACGTTATCCATAGCGGTCTGAGATTGCTTGAGATTAGAGATCGCCGTGTACAGATTAGTGATTGCTTTGGAGCCAGCCCGTTTCTTCTGGACGTACCTGTTAACAGCCATGGCTGAACAGTTCTGGAAGATTATCTTAGGATTAGCTACATATCTAGTGAGACGCAAAGTGGTCAGCAGCATAGCATACAGCTCTCTATCGACAAGAGGAAGCCGCGCTAGAGAAGGGGATAGACTTTTCTCAATATTGCACACCACAGCCGAGTATTGAGATACAATTATTTGGCAGTGCGTGTCCATAAACGTAACTTGGGCCTTAAAGGCAACGGTCTGGTCGGGAATAGATAGACCAGATATATTGCGCACTGCAACTTTGGCTACCTCAAAGGCCTCCTGGAAGCTTTTATTCCAAGCAAAGACCGCATCTTGTTTTAAGAACGGACAAAACGGCTTCAGAAGCTCAATTCGATTGGCAAGGTACGGAGCAAGATACCCAACTAAACCCAGAAAGCGGCGAATGTCTGTGGTGCAGTTTGGAGTGGGACAGGCCAAAACCTTCTTCACAATATCTGATTTAGGAAGCACCAAGTTGTGTGTAACTCGTGTGCCAATGAAATCAAGCTCCGGCACCATAAAGACCGACTTCTGGTTATCAACTTCCAAGCCCGTACCTTTAAGTGCAACTAGCACCTTTTCTAAATCCTTAGTATGCTGGGCAATTGTAGGTGAGAAGACTAAAATCTGGTCCAAATATACCGATGTGCACCGCTGGTCATCACTATTCAGTGAATGGGCCACTGAGTAGTGCAAGTAATTCCTCGCGTACTTGTACCCAGGCGGCATGACCTTGAACTGATACGTCCGCTTTCCCAGCTTAAAAGCCAGCATGTGCCAGCACTGCTCCTCAATAGGAATCTTGTAAATGGCCTCCTTTAAATGAAGCCGAGAAAAGACTTCCATATCCCGAGCACCTACTAGCAAAGACTCCCGAGTTGGCAACGGCATATCTATTGGTTTTACGTGAGCATTCAAAGCATTAAGATAAAGACCAAGCAGGGAAGTCCCATCCACAGTAAGCACTATCATGGGATACGTTAAAAAGTTCGATCGGGCGGTTAGATTACTAATGTATCCTTTCTGCAGATAGACACTCAAATACTTCTCTATCTTCTGTTGCGCACTTGCAGATAGGCCGCGGTAGTTGGAAACCAACTCGTGTGAATTTATCACTGGAATAGATACGGGAAGAATTCGTGCATTTAGTTGATCACCATATGCTTTCACTTTGATCATAATTTCCTCGACTAGCAGATGTCCGGCACGTGCCATATACTGCCGTCGTATTGCCTGCAGGTCTGCACTATTTTGGACATCATTGCTAAACTCACAGTCAATGATGGCTTTCTCTTCCTGAATTTCGCGCAATCGGCAGCGCCAATGGGTATGGCCCTTTTCCTTACAGAAATCACAAATGGCTTGTGCATCTTGTGCTTGATTTTTCGCCTTAACTTGTCTTTGGCTGAATCCTCTATTTCGAGGGCCTTGAATATTCTGTCGATACTTGTGTTCAGGCATTGGGGCTAATGTTATGCTATTCAAAATAAAAAGTGTCTATAAGGTGATGTGGTAGTGAGATTAAAGGTTAACAAGTCACTGGGACGGGTCGTAATGTCTGTTGTAGGATCAATGGGCTGTACAATCGACCGATCTTATTGGCAGTCGCTAAAATCAATAGATTGTAAGGTTTTATTTGGTTAGTATTTGTATTAGTAGTTGTATTAGTATTTGTATTAGTATTAGTATTAGTAGTTTTATTAGGGTCAGTTGAGTTGAGTTATGTTGAGTTAGTATTGTATTGGATTGTGCTAGTATTGGATTGTGCTAGTATTGGATTGAGTTAGTTGATGCTGGAGTTACAATGTGAATATAGACGAATTGGGTTAGATAATCAAGAATACATCATTGATTTTGAAATATTCATTCAACTGCTATTTCAAATGAATCAGGATGTTTTAGCCAAAGTAATTTGGCATATCTATCTACAATTCGATATGACGTCATCCTCTCACACCCACATTTATCTAATAAAAGGTACCGGTGTTCGGATCAAGGAACGTCTTTAATGGAGTATGTATTGGTCAATGGATGTTATCCATCCCATGGGCATTACACTAACCCAACTCAATACTAACCCAATATCAACCTAACCCAACTTAATACCAACCTAACTCAACTTAATACTCACTCAATTGGATACCAGGCGCATCTTTATTTATATCTATTGGTCTTATAACAAAACGAGAAGGTATGCTTGTAATGTATTGGGTTAAAGGGAATTAACCAACAACGTTGGCAGCGGCTTCGGCCCCTTTAGCAGCAACCTTGGCTGCGATACTCTTAAGGATTGGCTCTTCAAAGATAGCAAGAATAAAGACAGCCGAGATTGATAGAGCAATGATAACAACAAAGGAAGTAATGGCTCGACTATGCATCTTGCGACTAGGATCTTCTGCACCGTCAAGAAGATCGTGCTGGTATTGTTGCTCGCTTCTTTTGGGATTAAATAGCGTACCGCCATAGAAGACCACGGTCGGCATGATCAGAGCATAAGAAACTGGAACAATTGATCTAGTGGCCAAGCCAATAAAGCTATTAAAGAACAGACCCATATGCAAGGCCATAAGGGCTGCTACAATGTAAAGCCCATACTGCAGAGGTCGTCGGTACTTACTCCAACCAGGTCCAAGCGACATGCTGCCGATCCAGCCCATAACAATTGATACAAGCGCAGCCACAGTGTAGCCTTGGAAGAGCCAATGAGTAAGGCCAGTGTCTTGTCCTAATGAAAGGTAATCGAAGCGATAAAGCAATCCAAGGCACATAATAATAGTAAAGACTAAGACAATGTTTAAGATTAAGAAGAAGTTTCTAGCGATGCGCGGTGGTTTCTCCTGGCGAGCAACTACACCCACATATACCAGAGATAAGGCCATAACTCCCAATGCTGCAACGAAGCCAAAGACCGGGAAAGAAAGCATATTCCCGGCGGTAATTAAAGCGAAAACAGCTAGTAGAGTTGCACCAGCCTCGATTAAAGACTCGACCGCTTTGGCTAGAATGGGGTTACTCCTTTCTATTTCGTTTGCTTTGGCAATAAGATCATGGGCCTGTTGCAATATGTCATTATCTTTCTCTTCTTCTCCTCCGGGGATTATGTTCTGAGGATCATGTGTTTCTGTTTCTTCTTCTTCGTCTTTCTTCTCCGAGGATGTGACAACTGCCTCAGAGCCTTTGTTTTCTTGAGTTTGTTCCGCTTGAGTTTGCTCTACTTGAGTTTGTTCTGCTTGAGTTTGGTCTACTTGAGTTTGTTCTGCTTGAGTTTGGTCTACTTGAGTTGGCTCCACTTGAGTTGGCTTCACTTGAGTTTGTGCGGCTTGGGCCATGCCTAGCTTTGTTATATCGGTTGCTAGTTTATCTGCGAACTGATCTATTGTTTGTGGCGTGGGTTGTGGTGTTAGTGGAGTTGATTGGGCTGTTTTCTTAGGTTCATTTGTGGTGGTAGCCGAGAGATCTGGAAGTCTTATATGGACGGTTTTGTGTTTAGAGCTAGTCTCTGGCTCGATCTCATTGATACTAAGCAAGTCAGTACTAGGCAAATGGTAGTCATCACCGCTGAGCTGTGGTTGCTTGGATAAAGATGCTGGTGCCGTAGCTAATTTAGACAAGGGAGTTTGTGAATACTCATCATACCAATGGGGTTGAGTTAGTACTGGTTTTTTGTGTGCTAATGCCATTGATAATATGTCTGTTGATGATGCATCAATTTTTTCTGGATTTGTGCTTGCCGGATCGAGTAATTTTCCTTTTTGGGTAATATTGCCCGAGTGCTGATAATTATATTCATAATCATCATAAAGCTCATCGAAATCAATAAAATCTTGCGTGTAAATATGCTCGGCAAACTTCTCATTCTCTTCTCTATCGAAGTCATCTAGAAGACCGAGGATTTTGGCTATTTCGTCCTCACCAAATAAAAGTGACTTATTTGATTCACTATCAGCAAGAACATCTGTTTGTGGTTGTTGGGCGAATGCAAGCTGATTGCTTAGCTCATCTTGAAGCGGGTCGGCTATCTCTTCTCCGGCTCGGTTTATGGTGGTGTGTGGAAGCACCATAATGGGAGTCCGGTTGATTGCGGGGGCGAGCTTTTGCTTTAATACCGTCATAAGACTGGGTTCATTTGAAGGGACAGCAGATGAACTCTGGAGTGTTAGTTCTTGAAGATTAACTCTGTCTTTCTGGGTTAGAAAGGGTGCAAGTATGTCTTTAACGGCTTGGAGTTCAAGACCCGTTTGGACCGCATCTGTATTCGGGTGCAATTGTAAAGTGATGTCGTGGTGCTGGCAAAGGACGAAGTTCTCCTGGCAGTTTAGCAAACTGGTTTGAATTTGGGTTGGTTTGGGAGCCATGATTAAGAGGGCCGGGCCTAGTTTGCTGCGCCTGTTTTGCTTCATTTGCACATCTATTTGGTCCTGGTGTTGGAGGAGAATGTTGATCGGGTAGAGTGTATCTGAGACGGGAATCCCGTCTATTTCAAATGTTTGCGGGTTCTCTAAAATGTGGCTTTGAAAGGATAGTCTGGTGTATACATTTTGAAAGATCATATCGTCCCTAACAAAGGAGTGCGTAAAGAGAAGGCTTTCCTTAAACGCATCCACGAGACCCAAAGTACTGACCTCTTCCGGCATATTCATAACGCCTTTGCTCGCTGGCACACAGCTATTGTAATAGAAGAGATTGAGAACGTTCTGTATCTTGACAGCACTCCCTACATCCCGCAGAACAATAGGGGTAATCCACTTCTCCAAGTTATTCATGAAAAAACGACTGTCTCTTATCTCCTTGTCTGTGCTACTAAACTGCTGCAGATAAGCATATCCGACAAAGACATTCATAAACTGCTGCAGTGATGAGGTAGAGCCTACCATGGACAGATCTTTGCAGCAGAGGCCAAGAATATTGTAACAGGCTATTTCAAGTATGTCTGGTTGAACACCGGCGGGAAAGAATATCTTATATTGTGCGGCTAGAAACTGACTGGGCGTTTTATAGCTTGAAAATGGAACCGATTCTAGTTTGGCTATTTGTTGTTCGATAAGATCCATGTGAAAAGAAGGAAGATAATTCTCTTCTACTATCCTTGTTACGACCGTTTTAATTGCAGCTTGCCGAGTGGCCAAGTCCGTACTTACCAAACCTTTCCAACAACTATCAAAGGCCGTCTTTAGAGTAACTGCCCACGTAATGTTTGCTTTTACTAACTGATTGAAGCGATCCGGCCGAGTGATTCTTTCCAATTCCCTGTGCAACGTGCTTAGGTCAGCCCGGCACTGATCTATCGCACTGGCTAATTGTTTCGTAGCCAGTGGATCGTATAGGGCTGTTTCTATCATCTCCAACCGACGTATCAGAGCAAGCTCTCTTCTCTTAATCTGAATGATTGACTTTGCTTCGTCTTGTTTCTGATAGAAAACTCGTTGCTCAGTACTTGGATCAGCCGTCTGTTTTCTCTGTATTTGACTGGATTGGCTGAGATCCAGCAGTAATAAGTCTATTTCTAATTTATGCAGTTGAGTTAGCTGTTGCTTAAGCTTGGCGACTTCTTCAGGAGTTATTGTTGAAGAAGAGGAACTGGCCACACCTCTACTCTGCCGATACACATAATTATATAATATCTCGCTTAACTGAGGCGACTGGTAAGTTGCTAGCACGTCCGGGTCTACTTGTGTTTCAGCTAGGCGACCAATAGACCGTTGAAGCTTTGTAGTTAGTGCAACAAGATCAGTATTGGTCTTTTTTCTAACCAGATCACTTGTCTGGTCTGATAAGTGCGACCTATTCCGTGCATTCTCAGTTGGTTTATTTCCCCGTAGTCTTCCTAATCCCAAATTCCGACTTGACTCATTAAACAGCAGCTGATCAATCTTATCACGAACGCTTTGATCAACATTAGCTAAAACTTGTCGAACGGCTGCTAATTCCTTCACTACGAGATCTCGATTCGGCTGCAATAAGTCCATCAATTCCTGGCACTTCTTCATACATTTGTCTCTATTCTGGAGTATTTCATCCTGATCTAGTCTCCGATAAGCAGACCAACTTCTCTCCCCGGCTATTCTATTCATCCAAGCTCCATTATCACACCATGAATTTACACCCTTACTTGAGCCTTGAACAGCTTGACTAGCCGAGATCAGTCCAAATAATAACCCAATTCCAAGCCAAATCATTATATTGTTAAACATTAACATCACTAACCCCTGCCAGAAATAACCCAATATAACCCAAATAAGCTCTAACCAACCGCCTACCACTATTTCCCCTCCATCAACCAATCTCAGCCCAGCATAACCACTCCTTTTATCATGCTCATGGGAGAGAAAGTTCCTCTTAGCCACTACTAACTTGATCAAAGACTTTGTAGCAGCCGAACCTTCTAGACGTTTATTCAGGTAATCAGATATCTTAGACAGTTGGTTTCCCAAAAGATCCAACTTAACCGCAGTGCAGCATTCACATGCCTGCCTTGCATCACTCCCTTCTCCATCCTGTCTTATTAATCTACTAACCACTCCTTCATTCTCACCAATTCTATCCAGTGTACTCTCTCTCATCCTCCTTATCAAATCCCAACCCAATACTAACCCAATCTTAAGCCTATTACTTCACTTCTATTTAATTGTTTATCTCTGATCTTTCAAACAAGATAAGTTCACTATCTCTGCAGCTTATTTCCTAATAAAGTAGAAGTCTATCCAAGTATCTCATTAAGCCAAACTCCTACTCTAGTTCCATCAACAATTAAGTAATGGGGATTCTAATGCACAAGTTCTTTATTTAGTCAATACCAATACAATCTTAAACCAATACAATCTTAAACCAACTCAACTCAACTTAACTCCACCAAACCCACCCGATCCCAACTCAACTCAATTTAACGCCCATACTTACCTTCATCTATGCCCCAGGCACTAAACCGACGAGGTCCTGTCCGAAAACGATACCCCGGAGTCTTCCGCCGCCTTCTTTCCTGCTCTTCTAGTAAAGACAGCTGGGCAGCGATTGATGCACCTCGGGGCTTCCTTATAAAGACAACATAGATACAGTACTCAATCAAAGAGAAGAAAAAGAAAGCACTCACACTTATTACCGAAGACATTACTAACGAGATAATCGTATCAATACTAGGCCCATCGAGCATTCTTCCAAAAAAAAGGCCCATATATATCCACTTATCTTTTAATCCATGCAGAACTCTACAGCACCCAAAACCCATCTTAAATCCTCACAAACCCTATCCAATACCAAAAGCACGCTTTTCTATTTACCCAATCTGATCGGATATTTAAGACTTTTCCTTCTTCTACTCTCTCTTTTCCTTAGCCCTCGCCTTTTCCTTCTCTTCTATGCTACCTCTTATCTATTAGATGCTCTCGATGGCTATTTAGCTCGAGCTTACCACCAAGAATCCCAACTTGGCTACATTTTGGATATGGCTCTAGATCGGGCCTCTTCAACTGTTTTATCTCTTCACATAGCAGCTAAGAGACCAGCTCTTTTACCATTCGTATCCACCATTGTTGTACTTGACTTAGTTTCTCACCTATTCTGTGTAGCCGTCTCATTACAAAGCAAGAAGTCACATAAAGATCATACTTCCAGTCCCGACTCCTTCTCCACTCGCATTCTTTCTCTCTACTACAACCGCACTACTCTTTTCCTTATTTGTTTCGCCACTGAAGCCTTTATGCTCAGTCTACTTTTCAGCCACTCTCTTCTTATCACTCTTCTTCTCACTCCCCCATTCCTCTTCAAGCAACTCACCAATATTCTCCAACTCCACCAAGCCTTACACTGGTGCAGCCTACACTAACCCAATAAATCATTTACTAATCACTATCTACTTTACTCTATCTCACCAATCCACACACCCCCCCCAACTAAACATCTACTCTATCCCACCAAGACCATCTCATTTACACAATATCAAAATCTATCAAGATACCATTACTGCCTCCAACTTCACCCAACGCCAACACCTATCCCACACAACACCTAACCCAACCCCTAACACCACTTAACACAACACCACTTAACCCCACCCAACTCAATACTAACCCAAATTTAATCTCATATCATTACCAAAAATCACTATCATTGCCCCTTAAATATTTCTTTTCTTATCCCATTATGCTTCTAGTTAAGTGTTTGACTTGGTTTCCTCTTTTTCTGGGCCAGGTTATATCCCGGCTGGAAGATTCAAATCCAGTCCCTCGGCCACCGATAGACTTTGCTTCACTTTCTAATCCAAGTAATACTACTCAGGATAATACATGTAATAGCTGCAGTAACTCTACTACTAATTCCGATAACTCCAATAATTCCGATGGTTCTACTTCTCTTCCATTTCCTGATGCCAATCTTCTCTCTTCCTTTCTAACTAACTGCGGCAATTATTTCGGAGTAGCTCTAGCAACCTCTTCCATTCTTGACAATGCTGCCGCCTTCTTTCCTAAAACCAACTACCCCGAGTCTACAGATCCATCCAGTAACCCTAAAACCCCCCATAATCCCAACGATCCCAATAGCACTCCCTCCTACTTTCCCACCCTCTACAACTACCTAATCCAATACGAGAACATCGGTCTAAAGCACTTATTTATTCCAGACCCAACTCAACCCAATTCAACTAACCCAAACTCAACTCCACCAAACTCAACTTCATCAAACTCAACTTCACCTAACTCAACTCTACCCAACTCAACGACACCCACTGGTATTTTCCCTACTGAATATTCCCGCCTTGTTTTCTCTTGTTTAATAGGCATTGGCTATACCTTATTTATTTGGGGTGATAATCTCCGCCACTTCAATCTAACTCTACTTATCTTTGTTTATCTTTTTACCTTTATCTTCAACTCTCTCCAACAAACTACGTATCTTACTACGCCTCTTCTATCTATACCCATTACTAGTTCTTCCCCAACCAAACCCCAGCCACTCAATCTTCCCAATTCCACATCAATCCCAGTCCAACCTTTCTTCTTCCAATTTCTCCATTCTACTCCCGGTAAAATCATTCTTTCCCTCCTTCTTTGTGGTCTTATTAGTTTCCTACTTATCTATTTAGTCCAACTCTTTTTCAAAACTTCTATTCTAATCGGTCTCGGCTGGTTCTTTTTCTTTGGCCCTGGCCGCTATCTTATTCAAACCACCAATACATCCGTATCTCTAGCCGCTCTAGTTGCCCTCTGTATTTTCTCCACTCTTTGTCTACGCTATCTAGAAAAGCGTCTAGAAGCCTTTGTCTTCCGTATTTTCTTTGGTTTCTTTGGCACTACTATTCTCTTCTTCGCCAGTGCGCAAATCCTCAGCATACCTTTCCATCTCCCAGCCATTCTTCTCAACTTCCCAACTCCCACTCCACCCGAGCAACCTACAGCCGAGTTCTGCACTCTCCTTCTAGCCACAACCATTTCCATCCACATCCAATCCATCCAACTCTACAAAGTCAACTATCCCTACCCACCACCCTAACAACTCAATCCCACCCAACCCATTGTACATAAATTTACCCAATCTTATCTACATATTTATTTTGATTTACCCAATACTTTACTCAATCTAATCTAATAAAATCACAACTTAACTCAACTCAATCTAATCTAATCTAATCACAACTTACTTTACTCAATCTAATCTAATAAAATCACAACTTTACTCAATCTAATCTAATAAAATCACAACTTACTTTATTCAACTTAATCTAATCTAATAAAATCACAACTTAACTCAACTCAATCTAATCAACTTTATTCAACTTACTCAACTCAATCTAATCTAATAAAATCACAACTTAACTCAACTCAATCTAATCAACTTTATTCAACTTACTTTATTCAACTCAATCTAATAAAATCACAACTTAACTCAACTCAATCTAATCAACTTTATTCAACTTACTTTATTCAATCTAATCTAATAAAATCACAACTTTATTCAACTTACTTTATTCAATCTACTAACCCCACATAAACCCACCTAAACCAACTCAACCCCACATCAAACCCAACTCAACTGAATCCTTTTTTTCTTTTATTTTCATAACCCCAGATGAAAGTAGAAGAAATTGAACCCGCAACGTTCATTGCCACTTTAGCTAAGACTTTAGTTGAAGAAAAGAAGATTGAAAGACCAGCCGAAGCCGAATACATTAAAACAGGCCATGGAAAAGAAAATGCACCTCAAGATCCTAATTGGTATCATATTAGAGTTGCTTCTATCTTAAGAAAGCTCTACATGGAAGAGCTTAAGTCCCCAGAGAAGCTAAAACACGGCTTTGGAACTCTTTGGTTTGCTCAAGTCTACAGTACTGCTAAGAATAACGGACATAAGCCATCTCATACTGTTACTGGCTCTAAAAGTCTAGTAAGAAGGATTCTACAAGGCTTAGAACGAGTAGGTTTTGTATCGCAAATTCCTAAAGGAGGTCGCCGACTTACTTCTACTGGACGCAGCTACTTAGAAGCAGTTAGTGCTAAATGTTAACTAACTACTTACTAATCATTAAATAACGTCTTAGTTTATCTTTTGATTTTGATTTTGATTTGATTTAGATAAGATTAACGTAAGATTTGGTTTGATTATCGTAACTCAACTTAATGAAGTCATGCCTATTTAAACCATCCATGAACTTAACTCAATCTAATACTATCTAATGGCGTGTATGAGAATTACCAAGACTATTAATTAGCAGACGAGTTGGTATTAAGTAAGTATTTAGTGTTTGACATCATCTAAGTTGGTGTTCGACATCATCTAAGTTGGTATTAAGTTGGTAGTGAAGTTACAAGTATTATATAGAGATTATGAGATAGATAGATAGAAATTAAGAAGAGCGAGATAGAAATTCATCTAGATCTCAAAGAGACAAGTAAGCATTAGATATCTGATGGAAGAGGTGAGTCTCTAACTGAGTAATCTAAAGAACGCATCCAATACGTTGCACCTTCTTGACAATCACCTTAATACCACCTTAATACTACACCTACTATCTGAGTAGCCCAATACAATACGTTCCTTTGTCTTTGATTGAGTTGGTTTGAGTTGGTTTAGGATTAAGAGGAATCTTTCCTCCTATGGTTATGACATAAACTTAACCCAATATCAACTTAACTCAACTTAACTAACCTTGTACTAAACTCAACTAACCTTGTACTAAACTCAACTCAACCTAACTCAATACAATATTAACCCAATATCAACTCAACCCAATATTAAACCAGTACTAATCCAATACTAAACAAACTCAACTCAATCCAACTTAACCCTAAACAACCCCAAACAACCCCAAACAAACTCAATCCAACTCAAACAACACCAAACCCAACCCAAACAACCCAACTCAATACCAACTCAAACTCAATCCAATCTAAACTTATCTTAATCTATATATACTTTAGTTTCTGTTTTTTAGCGATGCAAATTACATACAAAGCAGCTGAGGGTTTCTTCTTACTAGCACCGATTATTCTTTCTTATATCTATAAGAGTAAGATTAACAGTTTATTAGCCGATAACATTTTCTATTTTAGGGTAGCATTTGTACTATCAGTCTTATTAGATTTAGGAATAGCTTATGCTATCAAGTTAAGAGTAGCTAAATTACAAGTTGGTACTAAGATTCGCTTTGTTAGTGATGATTACGTCACTGTAACTAAAGAGGCTAAACCGGCTGAGAATAAGACTGAAGAGAATAAGGGAGGAGAAGAAGGTGAAGGTGAAGGTGAAGTTGAGACAGAAATGACTGTTTGTGAGTATGATACTAAGGTGATTAATACTCATATCTCTAAGATCTTATCTAGTGCTTTAATTCATACGGCTATTCATTTAGTAGTTAAAACACCTCAACCTATTATGATGCTTATTCTAAACCCATTAAAGAATATGTTCTTCTTCCCGATGTACATTGAGTATGTACGTGGTCGGTCAATGCTCAGACCTTTCTCTAGGAATGTTATGTTTGAGATTGGAGAGAAGAAGAGTACTGAGGAGGGAGAAGAGAAGGTAGGAGAAGAAGAAGAGGAGAAGGAGAAGAAAACAACTACTCCGCCTAAGAAGGATAAGAAGTTGAAGAAAGAAGAGTAAGTGCTTAATAAATTGAGTTAAGTTAAGTTAAGTTAGTATTGAGTTGAGTTGGGTTTTGAGTTGAGTTGGGTTGAGTTAAGTTGGTGTTGTATTGGGTTAAGTTGGTATTGAGTTGTGTTTTGATTTGGTTGATATTGGGTTGGTTTGATTTGGTATTCTGTTGTGTTTAATTGAGATGATATCTTATCTTATCTCAAATCTTATCTTAACTTATCTTAACCAAATCTTATCTCAATTTAACTTATCTTATATCAACTCAACTCAACTTATCTTAACTTATCTTAATTTAACGTATCAGATTGTAATAGTTGTTGCTGGTTTATTTAGATGAACTGTGCAAATGTTTGGGACTCGTTGGTGGCGGGTTCGGTTGTGCCGGTTGGGCGGGGGTTTTTGACGACTAGGTCTTTGTTGCGCAGACGGGGGTGCTCTCTTTCCTTTTCGACGAGTACGGCTTGCTTGAGTACGACTTTGGTGATGGCTCGGACTTCGGAATGAAGAAGGGCATCTTCAAGAGTCATTTGTTTGCGGACACGTTCGTGTCTTTCCTTCCAGTCGTCGAGGACACGGGTGACTTTCATCATGTACCAATCAATGCCGGCTTCGGTAAAACTTGGAGTTGTATCTATTTCTCCGATTAGTCCGGCTTCTTCTAGGGCCTCTTTGCCGGCGGCGTAGTAAGGTGGCTCGTTGTTATCAACACCTCCTTTGGGAAGAGTTAGTTTGTGCTTGCGACGGCCATTGACGAGGAAGACTTGGCCATCAAGAATGGGAATACACCCGACGATTTTGCGGGCTGGGTTGTTCTTTTTGGCTTTCTTGGTCTTCTTGGCGCTGTATCTCTTTTGCGGGCCACGAAGAAGAATTGGCCATAGAACAAAGGCGCACACTGCTATGCCGATAAGTACAGTAATTACTTGCCGCTTCATGTCTATCCTACCTGCCGGCTTTAAATAGTCTGCCAAATGGTTTCATCTTAGATTTGTTTCACCAGCATAACACTGTCACGTGTTAAGATTGGATTAAGTTAGTATTAGGTTGTGTTGTGTTGGATTGGTCTAGGATTAGGTTAAGTTGGGTTGGGTTGTGTTGGTAACAACATAACCAAATACTATCTAAATGCTATCTAAATGCTATCTAAATGCTATCTAAATAATAAACAAAATCCGCCCTATTGGACCCTATTAGAACGTGTCATATCAAATTATGTCCTCCTATACTAACACAATACTCACACAATACTCACACAATACCAAGCCCACACCACCCCACATAACCTAATCCATTTATTTTAAAGACCGGAGTTATCTAGGCCCTGGTCTACCGTTACTTTTGATTGGTTCAAACTCACCCCAACTAACTCAATCCTAACTAACTCAACCTAACTCAATTAAAGCCTATCTGCGAGGGCATCAATCCCGGGAAGAATCTTGCCTTCTAGAGCTTCAAGAGTGGCACCGCCGCCGGTAAAGACAAAATCGAATGCACTAGTATATCCGGCCCGATGGATATACCCTGACGTGTCTCCTCCTCCGGCACAGAACATTGTTTGTGCTTCTTGCTGCTGTAAGCTGTGTTTTTGGTTCTGAATGGCCTCTAAGGCCTGTTTGGTGCCCTGCTCGTACTCAGTCTTTTCGGCCATGCCTAGTGTGCCATTCCAGAACACGCGCTGACTCCGTTTTATTAAAGACCCGAGTAACTTTCCCGAGGCTTCACCAATATCACGAACCTCTTCCACCTCTGTTTCTAAGATCTTACTAGCTAGCACAGTCCGCTGATCGGCTAATCGGTAGTCTACCGGTAAAAAGACCGATGTTCCTTCTTGACTTGTTCGCTCAATAATCTCCTCTACATCCCGATCAGGAATCTTATTGAGAAAAGGTGTGCCCAGTAGTCCACCTAAGAAGATATTAGCTGCAATACCTGCTAAGTTCTTCACTAACCCAATCTTATCTTCTAGCTTACACCCGCCAATAATCAGCAAGTCTATTGGTTTACCCGTGTTTGCTTTAAACCTACTTGGATCATTAGCTACTGCTAAAAACTGGCTTATCTCCTTCTTACTAACCGCTCCCGGCGATCTTTCCTCTAATGGCCTTACATTCCCCAGTAGAAAGCTTATGCCTTGCATTTCGGCATCCACTAACAGTCCGGGAATTTTCTCCAACTTCACTCCCACCACCGAGTAGTCTTTCCGATGCAGCACTCCAAACCCATCACTTACCATAATATCACAGTTCATAGCTATAAACTGATCAAACAGTTTCTTACTAACTGCATCCCCCACTGACTTTTCTACACGCAAAGTCCTTAAGTTCTGCACTACTCCCCACTTTTCCCCTATCTCTTCCCCCCGCATGAACACTAACTTAAACTGCACACTTTCTCCAGCCAGCACTAACTCTTCATTAAGAGCCGCAATAACCGGCTCAACCCCACCCGAAACAGCACTTGATATTGGATCAGCCACACATTCAGGCCGTCCCAAATGCGTGCCAATAATCAGTCGTTCAACTCCCTTCCGGAGCAAGAACTGCAACGTCGGAATTGTTCCTTGAATCTTAGCCCGATCGAGGACTTCACCACCTCGCAAAGGCACGTTATAATCCACCCGTACAAACACACGTTTCCCTTTCCAATCTACCTCTCCCAAAGACTTTTTCCCCGCATATACTTCATGTGACCATACCCGCATTGTTTGTATATATCTTATTTGTATATACCTTAACTTTTAATCTATTTATGACGCCAATTCCAATCCTATTGAGTTAGTATTAGGTTAGGTTAAGTTTGAGTTGTGTTTAAGTTGTGTTAGGTTGTGTTTAAGTTGAGTTGTGTTAGGTTGTGTTTAGTATCGCATCAACTAACTCAACTTAACTTAACCCAACTTAATACATCATCTAACTTAACTTAATACATCACATAACATAACTCAACTTAACTCAATACTAACTTAATACATCACATAACCCAACTTAACTCAACTTAACCCAATACATCACCTAACTCAATACTAACTTAACTCAATACTAAACTTAATGTAAACTAAATCTAATTACTTATCTATTTAATTGTATCATTACTTCTCGGCACAGATACTTTTAACCTTCTGCTCATACGCCTCTTCTCGGCCCCGGCGATAGAAGGGATTAAAATGACAGCTTTCATAATGTCTCTGACGCACTACTCTATCTGGTTTAAATAAGAACAACTCCGATAACTCCTCAATCTCTTCCAACCCACCACTACCACTACCACTACTCAACCCACTACCACCAACTACTCCACTACTACTCTCACCCATACTACTACTACCAACTCCACCCATACTATCCTTCCCTTTCCCTTTCACCTCAATAATCTTCTCAATCTTCGTTTTCAGCACCGACATCTGATCCCGAGCAAATGAATCTTCCACCCGCCCTTTCTCATGCAAGTACAAACATCCATCATTACTACACTTAATCCCTCGTAAGAAAAAGGAGCAATACTTAGTAGTCCCAAACGTACATCGCACAATTCTATCTCCTAACCTAAAACTATCCATCTCCCTAATAGCCTCAGCCGCACACTCTTCCTTTAAGTACGTAATATAAGCACTAAACATCTCCTCTTTACTACCACCCACCCGATTACTACTACTATTACTACTCACCCGATTACCACTACTACTACTACTACTACCACTACTATTACTACTATTACTATTACTATTACCACCACTATTACTTAATCGCCGACTTAAAACTACTTTAACTATCTCACCAAAGCCGCCAAAAAGACTCCGAGAGCAAAGAATTTCTTCTCGGGCGAACTCAGCCGGAATTCCTACGGCATAGACTAAATTACGTTGTAAAACCCTTATATTTTGTAAATCTTCCTTATCTCCTACTCTTCTTTCCATGGTTTCTAGCTGCATTTTTCTTAAATAGCTGGTTTCACAATAAAAATAGAGGATCTACCCTTGTTTTTTGTTTAGTATGTCAAGTAATGAGAGATACAACTACTTTTCGATGTTTACTCCAGAGGGTAAAGTTTTGCCAATTGAAAGTGTGATTAGATCTACTGAACATGGTGGTGTTTGTGTGGCTTTGCGTAATAAGACATCTGGTCTAATTATTGCCCAAAAGATGGGTAAACAGGATAAATTTACTGAGGGTAAGTCTAAAGTCAAACAATTGGATGAGTATTTGGTTTATACTTATTCGGGTATAACTAATGATGGGGTGCAATTTGGGGAGAGATTGAAGCGGAAATTACAGAAGGAGAAGCACCGGACGGGAACGGTCTTAAGTATTGCTCAGTTGGTGGAGGAGCAGCAATTTCATAATGGTTTGGAAGTAATGCGGTATGGGAATAGGGCTCCGGGAGTTTCAGTGATTATTTTAGGGGTGGAGAAGTCGGAGTTGGTTCTAATGGAGATGACGCCGACTGGTGAAACTATTCCTTCTTTTGGGTGCTGTATTGGTGCTCGGGCTCAATCGGCTCGGACTATACTGGATAGTCAAGGTGACCGGATTTTAGGAATGTCTGACAGTGAGTTGTTGGAGCTGGGAATGTCTGCTTTTAGGAATGCCATCAATAATCCTGAGGTTTTATCTGGTGAGCATTATGATATTGTACAAGTTAGTTTGAGCACGGGTGTGTGTTTTCAAAGTCCTAGTAGTTCTTCGCCATCTGGTTAGTATCTGGTTGAGTTGGTTTTGAGTTGGTTTTGGTATTGGGTTATCTCTTATCTTATCTTAAGACAATAGTAAATAAAGGTTAGTTTGAGTTAGGTTTAAGTTAAG